AATAATATGTATATATATACATATATATATATATATATACATATATACATATATATACATATATATATATATATACATATATATATATATATACATATATATATATATATATATACATATATATATATGTATATGACGCGATGAATTGGTAGGTAATGATGAATGATACAATAAGCAATATGATCAACAAATTCCTTGTCGTTGCCTTCGATAATGATTTGACTGTCGGTTAGTCGATGGGTCGCTGAGTTGGGGATATCCTACGGGAAGTGTATTTAGCGAATAGAAATATCGTAATTTGTTGTCCAGCGGTGGCGAATATACGAAAATGTCGTCATTTGTGGTTTAGCCGTGGAGGATGTATTGTCTGCTTGATTGTAAAAAACTAAACTCGGATTTTATATATATATATATATATAAGAATTAGAGAGTTTTGTAAGCCCCATCGAGGTTATCACGGAGGTATGGCTGCCTTTAACATTGTCCATTGTGTGCGTACAATGGATTCATTGTCCATGCTGTAGATACTGAAACGTCTTTGTGTTATGCTGTCCATTGTTAGCTTATATTCTCTTCATTGCTTTAATTTCACTTACGAGATTACCCAGAGGACTGCGGCCTTATCCAAGAGATATTGACAGAGTAATATGGTGATACATGTACCATCACAAGTCTACAACATCTCAATGAGAAAATGATCGTGAATGGGAAGCACCGATTGAAAAGTATTGGAAGATTACTTAGGCAACTGCAAGAATTAGGGGGAAAATGTAGAACATACGAACTTATTGACTATCGAAATGAACTTACCCAAGGACATCCTGATTAAAGTCTATGAACGAAAATTGAAGGATAGGTCCTGATTGGTAAGCAGACTGAGACAGTATCTAAAAGGGCTGATAAAATTGGAAGAAATCGCAACTAAAAACCAACTTGACCTACCATAAATCAAGAGTTCTGAAGTAAAATTTAAACGTCAGCTTTAGTTATGGTTAGATCAAATGGTGACAACTCAAGAGCAATGGTCGATAAGGTGAGTTTACACAGGGACCGGATTGGCAGAAACCCGACAAGATCTTGTGTCTTCTGTAATAAGAACCAAATGTGGAAATTATCCAACCTTGAAACAACGAATAGAGCGTTTGGGTGGAATCAACATGTGTCTGAAATGCATGAAATTGAGCCGTATTGCAAGCAGCTGTGGGATGAAAATGATACGGTACTTCCACTGCAAAAGTTCCAACAAATCAGCGTTGTGTAATGACCATGACAACGACGTTATTCAAACAGACAAACTAAGCAAGGAAAAAGTGGGACCAACCTGCACAACTAATTAATTTAGTGACTGGTCAAAGAGATGCGAAAGAAAAAAGATTTTGCAGTGTAAAGAAGCGTAATCAACCCAGAAGTTCCAGAGATAGAGACATAGGCACCGGTATTATTTAATCATGGTGTGTGCAATTGTCATTCGTTACAAAGGATTTAGCAGGTGGACTAAATCTCCAAGCAACTACAGAGGAGGAAGTATCGCTTTATTCGGCGACAAATTACCGAAAAAGTACTATACAGCAAAAACGAAAATGGCACAAAGATACTAGGGAAAGAAATCATTTGCTAAGTACACCTCATGGATTCCTAGCGAATAATATTCGATTGGTGGAGATAAATGAAGGGGATACATCATTTGTGATGAAATGTGATCAATTAGATGGCTTAAAAGTTAAAACCCGACTACTTATTGCTTATATGGGCAAATTCATCGAATGGAGGAAAACACAAGAGTTGAAGTCAGAATTTTCCCTGTTCCAGATAAGAGTTGACCAATATTAAATGGTTTTAATCTCCTGTTTAAAGGGAAATGCTCTACAAGCAGTAAGAGGTATTATAGAGTACCGGAAAACTATAGAGCTATAAGAGAAATATTGTTAGGAAAATCTGGAGAGTCATCTACCAATCGTTCTACTGTGAGTTAAGTTCTATAAAACAAAATGACTAGGGGTGGAAGTCAACCGTTGAAACAATCAAAAGGGTATTTGACTAAGAATGATAAGAGAAAACCTAAAGCATACTAGTATCGAAACCGCTATAGAAACTAAAATACCTGGTTGGATACTGAATAAAATATGTCAATGAAAGAAGGGTGACGAACTATGATCGATCACGGAACTCAAACAATTCCTTAGAAAATTAGTTAATAGAAACTTCTGCGTTGGCTGCAATCAATCAACCAAAACCAAGTGACCATAAGAAGGCTCTTGAACTGACCAACAATTCAACGAAAACTTCTGAAGACGGGAAGTCAAAAGACCTTTTGTAATAAGGATCACTAGGATAACGAATGCCATATTTATCCCACTCCCAAACAACGAATTGATCGTCTGAAGAAAATTTCAGTATAAACTGCTTCAAAAGAGGACATATTGAAGCCGACTGGAAAAAAAAACGGTACGTTGTTTCTGTTGCAAAAAGCCAGCAGCAGCGCTCTGCAACATCAAAGACCAAGAAGTTAAGCGATAAGAAGATTCATCAAATGAAGGAAAATGGATTATAATGAATAACGGAAACGTTGCGGTTAACACAATGACGGAGTTGAAAGGTAAAGAAGTCTTGCTTTTGTGTAAGGGAATTAACGTTCAGCGCATTATTTCTTCAAAACCTATGCAAGAAGAATCAATCATGAGATCGAATTATAAACGACTAAAATCAACAACAGTGGAAATCTTCGTGAATGGCCAATAATTGTAAGGCATTTACAGCGATTTGTCACAAACCTTTCAATTTTAATCGGAATTCATGTTTTTACTGACACGTCAAACTTAACGTATTCAGCAGCAGTGTGCATGCTAAAAAGGCAAAGGATGAATGAGAAGAAATCATTCTTGGCTTTGCAAAATCTCGCATCACCTCCCTATCAAAACGAATACGATGTCTCGATTAGAGTTACTCGCGATATTTATCGGACTACAAGCTGCATAATCAGTAATGACACAGCGAACCTATAAGATATAAAGGTAACTCAATGGTCAGATTCTAAATATACATTACATTGGATAAAAATCATCCTGGATTGTTACCAAGATTCATTCAAAACCGAGTCAAGGAAATGAGCAAAACGAAATTCACGTTTTGTTGTATCTTATCAGAACATAATCCGGTAGATGTGGCTACAAGAGGACTTCCTCCCCAAAAACTTAGATACTTTAGGCCGTAGTAGAACGGACTGCCGTGGTTGAGAGAAGAAGGCCACAATGAGTATATGACTTCAATAACAAGAACGAAATGAAAGAAATAGCCATCACAAAGGTTACACAAACTTATCAAAGGAATAATTTTCAAATTATAGATAGTACTCGTTTCAGCAAATGGTTAAGATTATTAAGAACAGCCGCTTGAATTCTCAAATTCATAAGTTTAGTAACCAAAGGAATCATCATGGTTGCAATCATTTTCAATAGAGAAAAATCAATTCTCAGCTAATGATTACAAATTGATAGAATGGTTATTAATCAGACAAGCGCAATCAGAAGAGATAATTGAGGAAGAAATTTATAAATGGAATTTGTATTACAACATGGACAAAAAATTATGGAGATCCAGAAGTTGATTAAAGAATTCGGAGTTGAATGAAACCAGCAAACATCCTATGTATCTTCCACGACACAATCCAGTAACGGAACTTCTCATACTAAAACAACATGAGGACTTAAATTACTGGAATCGGTCATACCCTTTCACAGTTTAGAACCACATTATGGCTGTCTAAAGGTAAGGCTCGAAGTTAAACGAGTTATAAACAAATGTATGGCTTGCAAACGATAGCATGCCAAACCATTCAAATTGACACCTATGCTCAGTCTTCCGGAAACACGAGTCAAGCGCTCTACACCCTTTGTACAAGTTGGTTTGAACTATTTTGGTCCTCTTTCCGTCAGGAGGTGATAATGGATTAACGAAAACATGGATAGCTTTATTTACATGTTTCACTAAACGAGCAATACATCCAGAGTTAGAAAGTTTTATTTACCGAAACCTTTCTGCAGAAGGTTTAACTCCCGATTTGGTTACCCCAAATTTGTCTTAAATGATAATACTAGCCAATTTCAGTTGGTTTTCAATATGGAACGAAATATTATAACTTCTTGGCAAAAAAGGGAATGATTTTGAAAAACATCATACGAAAAGCCCCATGGGATGGAGGAGTTTATGGAAAACTAATTGGACTAATAAAAAAAAAGAAAAAATCAATGAGAAGGACTACTGGCAGGAAATTACTGGAGGAAAGAGAATTAATAATCTTAACAGTAGAAGTTGAAGGCATATTCAATACCCGGCCATTAATTTATGCAAATTTCGACGTCATCACACGTCCTATTGACTTTATCCTAATGATTCTTTGAGCATGCAATCTGCTAATGATAATGAGCGCGAGGAATTTATTCCTCAGACTAAATACCAAAGATAGATTTGTCAAGTACTGTCGTGGAAATTTTTGTTTTTGCGTTAGAGGAGATTGACGATGAGGTCCCTTTATATTGTTTGACACGGGCGCAAGAAGTTTGATAATGCTTTATTGATGTCACTGATAGATTTATTATTTCTAGATTACTAACGAGTATACAAAATACAGTCACGAGTGGATTTCTTGTTGGCATAAAGAGGAAATGTAGCTGAGTAGTTGAATGGGAGCTTGAGGAGACTTGTAGAACCAAAAGAAGCTGTAAGTTTTGAGACTTGTAGGACACCGAATGAAGTTTCTCGATCGGCCAAGAAAACTCTTTATATAGTGGTGTGGTTTACATAATCTGATACATTACATACAAGTTTTGTTCTCAGACAAAAGAATACGAATTAGTTTAACGGAAATCCAGATATTAACCACTGAATGTAACCACGGTTATCAGATTAAAGAATTTTACAAGATACCTATCATTATGTAAACTAGGTTGTCAGACCAGCTGGTCATTGATAAACCAAAAATTCATTAACAAACCTCTAAGTAGCTTGATTATCAAGCCGAAAATCCTTTACGCAATGTCATAGATAGGTATTGGACACATGATTCATTACTTAGGACGTTGAAAATTTTGATTTTTGTGTAATGAATCGCTTGTCGGTGAAAATTTTCAAGTAAGGGAATCTTTATGCCACAAATACTTTCACTGTTCCAACATATAAATGTTCTCGGGTTTTCCGAAAAGTATTGGGTAAATACTTTCAAAATATATATGGAGGACGGAATATTTAACCAGTCTCAGATGACGAGATCAGAAAGAGCACATCTCGCCCAAGAAGGTAGAGAACTTTCCGTGGGGAGAAAATTGTGCTAGTTAATGAACCGCAAATCCCATGTGGTATATGGAAAGTAGCAAAAATTAAGGATAATAAGATGGATAAAAACGGCGAGGTAAGAAGAGCTCAAATAGAAACACTTTATGGGAAACTTCTCAATCGACCAATAAATATGTTGTACCCTCTCGAAATTAATGATGGAGGGGACTTTCTCGATGACGATGACGAAGAAAATATAGAAATTCAGTCAAATCATCAGAAGATCGACATTCCTGAAGATTCTGTAATGCTACGAACTAGAAGTGCCATAAAATGACGATACCAATCAATGAAACTATGCAACTCAAATCTAATGAACTTATTTTAAGTGATTTCTATAGTCTTTATATTATTGGCACAAGCAGTGGCAAAAGAAAATTGCCAGTGTAAATGGTATTCCAGATATCGTCATATCTGGAATACCATTTAATATTCCAGAAAGATGGAATTATAAAGAATTACAAACGAAACAAAACCTCATGTCAGTTTAGGTTGATTCCCGAACTCATGTCAGAATTCCTGCGATCAAATGTAGCAGTATTATCCAAACATTATGCGCTAAAGCGTTTTCACGTTTTCATTATCAGTAATTTCGGACCAGTCGAAAAGAAAAAAAAAAATGTGATTTACAACAAATCTTATAAAACGAAAGCAAATTCATGTCTTCACTGACGTTTAAAAGTAGTATATTTCACAGCAATACATGCTTTAGTAATGTTGAAAAAGCGGAAACACCACTGATTTTCGCCATAAACTAGCGCCAATTAAAGGAATGAGTGTTTCTTGATTGGAAATGCTTGCGATATTTGGTGTACGAGCAGATTGTTACGCAGCAACCAGAATTAAACGGGTGTCCAATAACATTATGATCAAATTCGAAATGTGCACAGTCACTAAGACCTGCTATTACGATTCCTATAGAACTGAGTGGAAGAAATACGGAAGGCAAAATTTTGTTTCAAAACATCCCAGGTGAGCATAATCATGTGAACGTTGGTACGAAAGGAATTCGTGAAAAACGAAAGAAGTAAAAGGGACCACAATGATTAAGAAAACCCGAAACTAAATGGCCCCAGTGGGGATACCAAACTACGAAAATTTATGAAGACGAAAAGAATAGAGGAATGGGTTATTACAAAAGTCACCGTTCAAAAAACCGAGGGTGCAAACTTTTTGAATCATCAACGCAAGCCGATTTAGCAAGTGGTCCAAGTTAGTAAAAACGGCTATATGGGCTCATAAATTTATCCGAAGAACAACAAAAGGAAAATAATCATTGTTAAATCCGATACCGACAAAAGGACATCGGCTAACAGTTGTAGATCATAATTTAGCTGAGTGCGTGCTAATTAAACAAGCACAAACAGAAACAATCACCGAAGTGAGAAAGTAGAACTTGTACAACGACGATGATAAATTATGGAAATCACAAAATCGTCAAGAAGATTCGGAGCTAGATAAACGGAACAAACATCCAATTCATTTACCGGGACATGATGCAGTTACTGAGCTTCCAACACGACAAGAGCATGAGACGTTAAATCAGGAACGGAGTATCTAAAAGATGGATTGCCTTACTCCATGTCGGGAAGGCACATACACTTTTGGAAGTGAGATGCAAATTTTGGATACCAGGGTACCGAACTGAAATTAAACGCGCTGTTAATGCATACGTTGCAAACGATGATCAGCGAAACCGTTCAGGTTACTCATCATGTCAAATCTATCGGAAACACGAGTCAATCGATCAGGAGCTTTTGCAAATGCTAGTTTGAACTATCTCGATCCTTTCTCAGTTAAAACCAAAAACGGAGTGTCGCAAAGATGGGCTGCCTTATTCACGAGAGCAATACATTCGGAGATAGCAGACGACTTATCTGCGGAAACTTTCATCCACCTGTTAGAAAGGATTCATGTTCCGAAAGAGGTATCCAGAGCGAGTCATAAGTGATAACGCGAGTAGTTCCAATTAGTCTTTAAAACCATAAAAGTGTCGGTGATTTCCTTCAACAGTGATTTTCTTTCAATTCAACCATGGGAAAGATTGAGGGTTGTTTCTGGTTCAAACTTGGGCAACTAAACCTTCATTACGAAAAGTTTGTTAATACAACAAGGAACTAAGCGATTATGATTTCAACAAGACAAATTAATGACGAAAATAATATGAAAAGGAGATCCAATAATGCACGATTAGTCTATCCAACCGACCTAGTTAAAATATATATTTTAAAATGCTTCTGATGCTCAGGACCCTCCGCCTCCTCGAGTAAGGGAGATCCTGGTACAGTTCCGAGATTATTAGTACAGTTCCGAGATTACTTTGTTAGCGCATGTGGAATGAAGCTCTTTGATAGAGCACATGGACACAATGGACGCACAATTTTAGCTTACATTTGACTTTTTTTAGCTTACACTTTATTTTTTTTTTATTGCACAGTAAGTTCGCACATGCAACATCTTATACCCAACGGTATCAAATTTACAACAAAGGAATTACCGATTCATTGCTTCTCCTCGCGATTCCACCAAAACTATCCATGAGGCGAGCGATTTATCCGGACCTGGTCCTTGGTCGGAGACCTCCAAACGATAGAGATGTCCTACTGAACCGCTGATCGACGTATCCCATCTCTGCTCCTTACGAACCTGTCGACTTTTCTCATTCTCCAGGTATTCCTGTGACAATCGCCTTTCAATAACACCAGCTGATCAATTTCAGGTTCTCGTCGAATTCGGCTACGACGCTCTCGTTGTTTGCGTTGAGCTCGTTTCCTCAGTTCTTCTGTGTATTCTTGCCATATTCTCCATAGGTAATCAAGTCTCTTGCATACAAGCTTGTATTGATGAGTCAATTCCTTATTTGTAAAATTTCCTCCCCTCCCCCCCCCCCCCTCCCTCTCGATGTTGTCTTGTTTCTGCGGTAAGTTTTTTCTTCTGTTAAATGCTCTCCTCCAGCTGGGCCTGGATTCAAAAAATTCCCAGGTCTTAGCAACTAAACCTCTTCCAGATCTACCAAGGGTCTTTCGCTGATAATCACTTCAAGTTCGGTGACTAAAGTTATCAATTCTCCGTTGTTAAGGAGCTTTGTACCGATGGCTCTTCTTAGAGATCCTTTAGCTACTGCATTTCATAAACGCCACTCTACGAAGGAGCGACTGGAGCAGTGATTTCCCATTCCATCGTTCCACTTTCCACTGTACTTAATTCTACAAGTACCTTGTAACCTGCTATAAGATCCTTTGCATTGTTGGTAATTATGTGTTTCAGTTTGTTAAGTTTGCTTATAAATCTTCGAAATGCGTGTACGCATTGTTCAGCCGGCATTGTTTTCACTATTTCGGGATGCATGGCCGGAGCGGCTGGGCATGTAAACAAAGCCATCCATCGTTTGGTATTAGCATGATTCTCCTTTATTAGAACTGACCCAAGTATAAATTAATATAAGATTCTTGGCACTGTCGGAAATTGTGTGTTTCAGTTATTTTCTTCGGCTTAAAAATTGGGATTTCAAACGGTCGCGTCTCCATAACTTTAGCACTGGGATAAGGAGGTAAGTCTGGTCGTTTAAATGGCGTAGCCATCTACATTGTGCAATCTCTACAAATCTTAAGATTTTCTTAACATGTGGCTGCCCGTATCGGGTCCAATACCGTTGTCTCATCGTGCTCCAAGCGTAGTATACATTCGCATGAAATGGTTTCTCACAGTACTGTTCCACAATCAATTTTGCTAGCTTTCCTTTATTGATGAAGTAAATCGCTAATCTCAGGACTATCGTTGAAATCGCGAGGAAAAGCAGCAAATCAATAATTCCTTTAATGCAAATTTGATACCGCTGGAAATAAAATGTTGCATATGTGGATTTACTGCGCAATGTAAAATGTAAGCTAAAATTGTGCATCCACTGTGTCCATGTGCTCTAATAAAGAGCTCCACGTACGCTAATAGGGGCGCTAATTCTTGTAATCTCGGAACTGTACCAGAAGATGCAGAGGATCCTGAGTACCAAAGCATTTCAAAAGATGTATCTCAATTAGGTATGTTGGATAGACGATGTCGAACGTCGTTGGGTCTCTCTTTTTCATATTGTTATCGTCATTAATTTGTCGTACCAAAACCGTAATTGCTGAGTTCGTTGTTATATTAACAAACTTGTCGTAATAAAGATTTTATTCGCTAAGTTCGAGTTATTATCAACCAAGGAGGCAGAAATTCCCAACCTTTGTCACGGTCGAAGAGAATCGTCGGCAGTACTTTGTTTTCGGTTCTAAGTGGCGTTTTAATTTTGATGGCTTAAAAGTATCGTTGCCCGAAGATAGTGGCGTATATAACTCACAAACCGTAGTGAGTTTGTTTCCCCATCACGTTCAATGTAGATAAATCCGAATTTAATGTAACTATTTTCGTATTTTTTCTTAGGTTCCATTTTCCGAAAATAAAACAATGGAACAGCGACTTGAGGAGCTTCGCCACGCTGTCGGACTGCCGGAATGGAAATTACATTCAAAATAAAATCATTACATTATTATAGAATATAATATTTTGAAATGAATATTATAGAAGGAATAGTAAAAAAGGAAGGGATAGGGGAGGAAATCGAACAGACAGGGTGATGAAATTCCGTTGGTAAAAAAATTTAGGCGAAGAGCTACTACTGGACTGACATCACAAAGAGATCTCGGTACTTACAGTACAATATTACTAGGTGAATAAGCCCATAACTCTCACGCCCGAATCAACGTACAGCTTAAAAAAAAAAAAAAAGCAGAAGAAAACAGCACACGCCTGTTTTACTGCTCCGCCATCCTCCCGGTCAGTATTTCAATTCGCGTGGACCACAGATTGGGAACCATTGGTTTAGGCAGTACGATAACTTTCAGCAACTTCAAGTCCATTTTCCAATTCGATCTCTTGTTTATGCATTACGATTTGTACCTTGCAGTTATCATAATGGCGGATACTTCTGATTAGAGTCATGGAGCAGTTATTTCCCACTGTTTCCTTGTTTGTAGTGAGAGAGTAATTGCTGATGCATGCATACCAATTAAATCTTACAAAGCCAACCTAATCATACATCCAGATTGGTTTTGCAGAACCGTTCGCTGAGCTCAAAGAATAACCTGATTGAAGTAATCTTTATTATAATTTTATGCTACAATAAATAAAATAGATGTCTGTGTGATCTCAACAACCCATTAGATCTTAGGCATACGTTAGGTGTTCGTTTGCACGAACAATATCCATCTGAGTTATGCTGATTGTTCCGTAAAAACAAGGCATTCTCTTTGATATGGTTGTTGCTATTTCTCTGGGTAAGCCCGATGATCAGAAATATTTATCATTAGCTTTCAGATATGAAATGAAAATACAAAACAGTCCTTAAAATCAAGAAAACCTTATCAGGAATTCCTATGAATATCATATTGACTGATCACACGTTGTACATTATGCACAAATTCTCTAAGACTGCCACTAGAAAACTAATCAGTATTAGTTTTTGAAGTGGAAAGGTTAAACATCAGTGTGCTATTATGCATCTTTGGATGCTATACGGTGTCTTAAAGATTTCCTAAGTCTTCTTTGAAGAATTCCAAGACCCAAGTCACAAATTTCAAAACCCGCACACTGCTGAAATTTCCATATTCTTGAAGCAGAGTTTCGAGCTGAACCGCTTGACATCGAGAAAGAAATGAGTTCTGAAGTCTCTGAAGGTCAAATTAGTCGTTTAAAGACACAAAAGTCCAAGTGCTGGAAGTGGAGTAGGAGATAGCAAGACTCTATAAACCTAACAAATTACGATGAGTACATCACATGTGCTGAATTTCCAAAGTGAGAGATTTGTGGTTAAATCTTTCATTTAACATAAAATACATGACGGTAAAAATGATTAAAACATTAGATGGGCAGCAGATAGAGAAACTACCAGAAAGTACACATACTATTTTAGGGAAAAGATTTAGGAACTATTATGATATGGAAAGATCATCAAATGTGTTCAAAATACACAGAGTCTTTCTAGAAGTTGGAAGTGTCAGGATTAGATGAAATTTGTCCTTGTACAAGTAACAATCATTACTGGTTACTTCAACTTCTTACCGTTAGTGTAGAAGAAGACATAATACGATTCTTCGGCTTAATGCCGAATTACAAATATAATTACCATACATATTGGTGAATTAATATTGGATAGAATGTGCCATTTTTGTTCTGTTATATATAATTAGAATGTACTGGTTAATTAACTTTTCACTATTATTTGGTTTTCTTCGGCCAAATATATGACCGTCTCGAACAGTTTTGATGTCTTCAATTTAATAGGATGTACAGATCAGATTTGATTGAAGGTGTTAAAAATATGATTTACACATTTCTGTGTCTAGAAAATATTGCTGCATACAGCAATATTTTTTTAAATATAACGGAAGAAAAATGGCACATTCCGTCCAACATTAATTTATCAATATATATGATAGTTATATTTGTATTTCGACATTAAACGGAAGAATCTTATTATGTCTTCTTCTACGTTAACGGTAAGAAACTAAAGTAACTAATGATTGCTACTTGTGCAAAGGCAAATTTCATCTAATCCTGACGCCTTCAACTTCTAGAAAGACTCTATATGTGCATTTTGAATACATTCGATCTTTCTTCATTATAATAGTTCCTAGATCATGGTTTAAAAGCAGATATTGAACTATGTTACAATACGTTGCCGGACATTTTTGGCAATTTTACAAAATGATTAATAAGGAATTAAATTTGACATAAGAATTTTCCTCATGTGCTACGAAAAGCTTTTAACGGAAATAAGGAAATGGGTTGCGGGGTCTCGAATTGAGAGGTAATCCAAAAAATCTTTCGAAATTTCGGAAATTAGATGAAATAACTTATATATTTTAGGAAATATGAAGCATCACTTATTTAGTGATGCTTCATATTTCCTACTTCATATTTGTTATTCTAGGCAGAAGACATATGAAGTTGAAGTGCGTGTGATGATTCTTCGTTTTGAGTTACAATAGCCGATCAATTAAACTTATAAACTGTGTATACAGAATCAGCGATAATGTTGAAAACAAACAGTTTCCAAAGACACTCTCGGCTTCCGTTCGCATGATAGGCTTTAAAATGGGTGTAGATCCCACGTTTCTTTATAGTGAAATTTGTTCGCATCAGTAACGAACTGGGTTTTCAACTTTTTTGAGGGTCCCGAACTACAAAAATGGTTGCAGCTCTCTGCTTTCTGAATATTACCGTATTTTACAAAGGGAGTGGCAGAAAGTGATCAACTAATATCCGTAATTATCGTGGATGGGTACTGTTGTTTATTATTCAACAAAGATAAATATACTTGTTAGAATTGCCGTGTTCTGAAATGGTTCTCTAAGACGTTGTACTCAAGTAGTGATTATTATAAATGAATCACTTGTAATTTTCAAATTTATTTTCATACTAAGTTGATCTGAGGAAATTAGCAAATTCATCGTCATTGTTACATGCACTCATCCCTCCCTGTAGAAATCTGACTATATTTCTCTACATTTGCTAAGTCATAGTTTTTTTAATACTACCGATTTTGATATACAGACCGTAATTTTTTTTCATTTCTAACAATGTTAAAAGACTTCAGGATTCTAAGCATGAGAATAATGCCAAGCTTAATGTGATTCATTCACTGTAATCCTAACAACAATCTTCCCAATAGCAACACCAATAACTGTTGCGGGCGAACAAATAAATCCTAATAAGCAATCTTGTAATACCAACATTATTCCATATTCCATGATATACTCCACTGCTGATGTTTCGATTGCATTATTTTTAGTACTGGGACAGAACTGGTACCACGTACAACTCTTTTCTATAATTGTTTCATCGTACCATCAATTGGACAGGTGTTTCTTTGAGCACAGTTCTTGAGTGCTAATCTTACTTTGGTTGCTACTGCTATATCACCACTACCAATTCTACAAAAAAGTGCCCACGTGTGTTTATCAATAATAAACGATGTAGTGTTGAAAATATATAACCAAGCAATTGTGCGAGTTCCTGATTTGCGCACAATAAGCACATTATTTCAGGTCAGCAAACCATCGCAGCTATTAGATAGATTTTTTTTTCTTGAAATAAAACGCCCCATAGCTGCGATGGCATGCTGACGACGCAAATGAAAAATTTCCTTCTGCTGTTCAACTATGAGAAAGTACTCTGAAGAAAAAAAGTTGTTCTTGTCTTCTGCTTCTTGCCTTTCTGCAGTTGTCTAGTTCTTTTTTTCTTTAACTTGGTTTTCGTTTTGGATGACTTTGAACAAAACGTAAATCATGTGTTATCTAGCAGAAGAGTGCAAATATCCATAGATGCTTCTGAATTAATCTTCATGGACACTGAAAAACCAATGGAAAAGTATTTATTACCGCGGATTCTTTTCGATTTACTTGCTGCCTCTCGCCCATTAACATCTAAGTCGGAGCAGACTAGACAACGCAGTAAGAAAATAATGTTAGAGTTACGAGTGATAATTTAGATCTTGCAACGATTTCTTGCTATCTGTCAAAGAAAAGTTTGCGTGTGAGGCGGCTACAGCAAAGTCGTGGCGAATGCATCTATGTGACCACTTGTTAGCCACTGCTCAGATTGATGAAGTCCCGATTACTGGAAATACTCCTTTTGTTTTTTTCATCATCACTTTTCTACTTGATATTTAAGGTCATAAGTCACGGTTCGCAGTGGAACAAGTCAGTGTTCGTCGTTCATATTTGTATGGACATTATGATGTTGATTTTAGGATAATTGCGAATAACAGTACATGACAAAGTTTTACACGTTCAGGCTGGGATGTGGAGCGAACCCGACTTTCCATATCCAGAAATGGAGTCGGCATATCGGCCAGTACTGACATGGCAACGTCGACCGCCACGTTTTCCACTTCCATATGCTCGTCCGCCGGATATACCACCACCATTTATGAAACCAGATATAAATATGATGCGAATGGGTGTTCCGCCCCCATTTCGTATACCAAGGATGCCACTTGAACTTGTGACTCCTCATGCTGGTTGGTTTTTTACAGTTGGGCAGAAATGATTAATAAGTTCTGGTAGACACATTGTATATCAGTCATTGTACAATATAGAATCAAATCGTCATATTTATGCTATTTGGTTCATTCCTTTTAGTTTTATTCGCTTTATCGTTTTGTTATACTGCAGCAGTTAACTACAATCTTCCCATAAACTTAGAAGTTAGTGGTACCTGTGACCAGTCTATTCAAAAAGGTTGTTTACTTCAGAATCTTCTGGTGCCAGCTTCAGTTAAAATCAACTTTAGTCAGAAATCACTGGCTGTATAAAAATGAACTGTGCAGTGGAATGAACGTGATTTTGTAGTGCGCACATAAAAACGGAAAAAGTGTACTTGGGACGAACAGAAGAAAACCGCATTAAATCGGTGATAAGTAATATCTTTTTCCAGGTCCAGGAATGCCACCTCCACCGCTACGTCCCGTACGA